AGTGAAAACACCGACACGCTTTGCTCATATAACTTGACAAAAAGAAGCACTAGACATAAGGCACCTCCAGTAACGCCATTGCATAAGTCTGAAGAGGAAGAATCAACCAGTTCCGATGATGACCTACATAGCCTGCCAGATATTAGTACTTATCAAAATGACAGAGAAGAAGAGTTGTTAAAAGAAATCGCAAATTTGAAATTAGAATTAGAAAAAGCTCATAATGAAATAGAAAATTTAAACATGGAAAATACAAAATTACAAAAGCAAATATTAGAAAAGGAAACGCTGACTGTAAAATGGAAGAAACTATTTACTGAAGCGATGAGTACACCCAAAAGGCGCGCATCTCTTACAAATCGAAATACGGAAAAGAAAAAAGATAACAAATCTGGACAAAGCCCACCAATAGAGTTAGATGAATCAAACTATAGTGCTGTAGAAGTAGATAATACAAAAACGAATCTAATAGTAAATAAATCAAGATTATATAGTGAAAAAACTGAACAAAAGCCAAAAAATAATCGCGTTATAATATTTTCTGATAGTATAGGACAAGGATTAGCTTCAAAGATATTAGAAAAAACTGAGTGTCAAGCAATTAACAACTGTAAACCGGAAGTAGGATTTCAAAAAATATTAGAAAATTATGGTGAAAAGATTAAAGGTCTGGAAAAAAAAGATACAGTAGCAGTACTTATTACTAAATATGAAAATTCTCTTTATCATAATCAAAAAAAGTACATAAAACTATTAAACAATATTGTAAACCAGCCGGATAGGAAATTTAACATAATAATCACTGGTGTTCGTTATAATGGCAAGAACGACAATGAGATTTACCATATCAATGATCAAATAGTTAACATAGCTAAAGTCAATGAAAATATTAAATTTCTGGACCCGAATATGATATATGAAAATACAAGGAACTATAAATCGTTGAAAAACTTTGTTATAGAAAATGTAATAACAAGTATAGACCGCAAGTTTCAAGGATCATCCTCACTGCGTTTCATCAAATGCCAAGACGAATACCCTTTTTCAAGTGATAAAGGCACAAATTTTTTAACAGCGCAAGAGCCGATTCAAGAACGATAATTCTTCATGCGAATGTTCGAAGTATACATAATAAATACTTAGAAATCGAAAGCTTAGCTAATGAACAAAACTGCGACGTGTTGTGTTTGACGGAGACGTGGGGTAAAAACCATCAAATACAGGCGATGTCTATTGAAAACTATACACTCGCGACTTGTTTTAATAGAATAATTTTTGAACACGGCGGAACGGCGATATATGTAAAAAATACTTTAGAATATAAAATTAGGAACGACATAAATAAACTATCATTTGAAATGAATTGTGAATTAGTAGCAATAGAATTAAGATCCTCAAAAACAATAATCATTGCACTTTACCGACCTGACTATGATATGAGTCTATTCTTTGAAATACTTACAAAACTTTTATATAAACTTTGTCAAGAGAACAAAAAAATTGTAATAGCAGGTGACTTGAACTTAAATGTTTTAAAAATTGACGCAAATATTAAAAAGCTTGATGGAATACTTAAAAATTTTAATTGTAAATGGATATTAAACGAACCAACTAGAACCCAAACAAATAAACGAAATAAAACCAGTTCTACTTGTATAGATAACTTTATTGTTAATTTTAATGAATGTAAAGGATGTGTATTAGGTCAAAAACTTTCTGATCATAATGTAATTAAATTAGAATTAGTTAATCAAAAAAACTGTAACATAAACATGATACTTATATAGGCAGAAACTTTTCAAGGAATAATCTTGATTATTTTAATTATTTATTCAACAAAAATTACACTGGGATTAAATCAGAAATTGTAATGACTGATGACGCGAACGCAAGAATGAGAATTTTACATGAAGCGCTGCACCATTATTACAACATTGCTTTTCCGAAAATAAAAAAACAAGTAAGGAACAAATATAAAAAATGGACTACATTAGGTATAGAAACTAGTAAGAAAAACTTAATTAAAATGGAAATATTACAAGAGCACTACCCTACCCAACAGAGAAAATTGAAAATTAAAAAATATAAGAAATTATTACTAAAAACAATGATAACCGCAAAAAAATTACAATATCGTATTAGGATTACGAAGGCAAAAAATAAAATTAAAGAATCGTGGAATATTATAAATGAGCAGGTAGGGAAAAATAAACGGCAAAATATAAAATCTAGAATTGAATCGATAAAAAACGATAGTGCGCAAATTATTACAGAATCTCAAAAAATTGCAAGAAGTTTTAATGATTTTTTCTGCAATATAGCACATAGATTAACGAGTAATTTAGAAATTGACGCAGAAAATTGCATGAAATACTTAGATTACTCCAATAGGCCACTAACATCTATTTATTTTTACCCATTAGATTATACAGAGCTAAAGAACATTGTTAATAGCATGAAGCAAAAATCTACATTAGACATTTATAATATGAGCACTAGGACATTAAGAAATCTTATTAGAAAGAACAATAATTTATTCGAATTGATATTTATTGTTGTCAACTCGTGCTTAGCTAATGGCATATTCCCCGACGTACTCAAACCAGGTAGGGTTGTTCCACTTTTCAAAAAAGGGGATTCCACAGAGCTCAGTAATTATAGGCCACTTTGTATATTGCCGGCTTTATCAAAAATATTAGAAGCCATCATAAAATCTAGAATTATAAGGTACTTTGAAGAAAATCATTTATTTACAACGGCACAATTTGGATTTAGAAGAGGAAGATCGACCGAAATGGCCATAAGAAAAGTCATTTATTTCATTCTAGAATCTTTGGACGGCTCGAATAGATGTGCCAGTATTTTTTGTGACTTATCAAAGGCTTTTGATTGCTTACGGCATGATGTATTATTATTGAAATTGCAGCATTATGGTTTTCAAGGAGCTGAACTGCATATGATGAAAACTTATTTAAATAACCGTAGCCAAGTTGTTTCAGTAAATGACCAAACTTCTTCAGTGAGTTTTGTATCGATCGGAGTACTACAGGGTTCAATTTTGGGTCCTGTTTTGTTTTTGATCTATATTAATGATCTTGGTAATGCAATGCCAGACTATACATATTTAAGTCTATTTGCAGATGATACACATGTAGGTTTAAGAGACAAAAGTCTATCAAATTTAGAAAACAAAATTAATAATGTTATATGCTTGCTAAAAGAATGGTTTAGCGCAAATGGCATTATTCTAAATTCCGATAAAAGCATTGTAATGCATTATCAATCGAGGCTAGGCATTTATGGTAACTCGGCTACAAAAGAAAATGTATTTTTAGGGTATACAGTAGATAACACAATCAACCATAAAGCCCACATTGAAAAAATTTGTAAGAAAATAGCTAGCGGTAATTATGCATTGTTTAAACTCAAGCCATTATTAGATAAAAAGACACTCATATCTGTGTACTATGCCTATATTCATTCAATAATAAGGTATACCATTACTATTTGGGGTAATGCTACGGATATTATAAAAGTTTTAAAATGTCAAAAACAGTCTATAAGAATAATCAATGGTCTGAAAAAAAGTAGTCCGGCAAGAAAACATTTTAAGAACGACAAAATAATGACAGTGGTTTCGCTTTATATATATAATAGTTTATTAGAGGTACACGAGGATAAGGAAATACCAAAAAAGAAAGACGTAAATCAATACAATCTGCGTTATAATGAAAAACGTGTTCTACCAATGAATAGATTAATCAAAGTAAAAAAACAAGGGCGTTACTCAAAAATATTGATGTATAATAAATTACCAAAAAGTATAACCAGCCTAAACTATAGCATATTTAAACGAAAACTTAAGTATTTTTTTGAAAATAACCCAATTTACAAATTAAGCGAATACATGTCAATGCAACTCTTGGAATCATCATTCTTGTGCAAAGTGCAAACAAAATAACTTACCTAATTCTATTACTAATTCTATTACCTAGTACAATAATGTAATTAAATAATGTAATTTAACCTTATAAATTTAAGAACTTTTGTAACCAATGACTTGCCTGTAACGATTGTTATATTATGGCCAATAAATATTTCTGATTCTGATTCTGAAACAACTTCAACAAAGAACTACATTGTTCTGTTTCAGTTTCCCTTTCGCCTTTGACGAGACCCATGGGATGATACGGGGAATTGTCATCATATTAATTAGAAATTCTTATTATTTTCTTATACATTAAGTATTACATCAGTTTTAGAACAGTACAGTAGTAACGCAGTAGAATCAGAGTAACCGCCATAACCCAACGGTTTAGTAAACAGAAGTGGCAATGGGCCGGCCATATAGCTCGAAAACCGACAACCGATAGGGAAGAAAGGTTCTCGAGTGCAACCTAGTACCTGCAGGCGAAGTGTATGGCGTCCCCCAACTAGATGGAGTGACAACCTAGTAAGACATGCAGGAAGTCGATGGATGCAGGTGGCTCAGGACCGTGCTTTGTATATTCAGCAGTGGACTAGTGAAAGGCTGTAATGATGATGATGTTTTATACATGGCCATTCAAGCATTTTCAACCTTATATAGCTGCATTAAGATTAAGTTATTATAGAAGTTAGGGTGACAAGCCAGTATAGTTCACATGATGTTGATGCGTGATGTTGATGAGGTGATCGCTACCAAGCTATTTCCGCTGGGTTTCTTGCTGGTTCTTCCCAGGACAGAGGTTTTTTTTTCTCGAACAAATGGTAATTAAAAAAATAGTGACTTTCAAAGTATTATTTATAATCTATATTGAATAAAAAATTTCTGTTTCTGTTAAGTATATGTTGTGTCTCACAAACACCTCTACTCGATCCATACTCGACTAACAATGAAAACACAGATTCACAGATGCGTTGTCACCTCTGAGGATTACTATGGGATATCCCACTGAAAAAGGGTTCTATTCTTTATAATAAAGAAGAAGATAATTTAAATAAAATGAAATTTAATTTACCTGTTTGCAATATCGTTCCTGTGCGTACAGTCCATTAGGAAGCATTCGTTGCATGCCTAAACCCAACAACGCAGCTTCTAGAGCTAAAGCCAGGTATGTTTCTTCAGGGTTCTTACTACCTGCCACAGGCACATGTTGGTATCTGCAATAAAATGGTTGTTAAACAACATTCAGAGGCTGTATTCCAAAAGATCAAGATGTATGAGAGTTGATGTTAAAAATTAAGCACTTTACAGGGTTTAAACTTAATAGCAAAATTGTTGCATTGGATGTATGTAACTATTGTATATATTTTTTTATAGGATAAGGGTGACAAACGAGTACACAGTCCACCTGATGGTAAGTGGTTGCTGCGGCCCATAGACATCTACATCTATCCTCTGTTACAAATCAAAATCTAGATGCGTTGTCACCCGTGAGGACTAAGATGGAATGCCTCATTTCCAGTAAAAAGGGCCTCCGGCCACCTGCACTCACCAAGCGAAACGCAGAGGTAAACCTCTACTTCACGCTGATTTTCTGTGAGGTCGTGGTACTACCCCGGTTCGAGCCGGCCCATTCGTGCGACAGCAAAAGCTGCCGCGTGGCTCTACCACTGTCTATGTTGTAATGTATTAAATTGGTCGTATGGGTAAAATAAGCAATTACTGTATTTCAATTTTATATGGGTAAAAAGGTTAAATGGTACTTTTTAGATATACTTCAGTGTCACAAGTGTTTTCCTCTTTGGAATAATTGAATTTAAAGTTAGCATATAGACAAAAAGTTCCTTACGTCAACGCCAACCATTTCCGTACGGTATATCATGGCAACTATATTTTATATTGGCAGAAAAGAATGTTTAAAAATATTATTGTTACTTTACTCAAAATGTTAAGAGGTTTTAAAATGTAGTAATCATTAAGAAGGTAGATGGAGTGACGACCAAGCAAGACAAGCAGGAAGTTGATGGATACATGAGGCTCAGGCATGTACTTTGTGGAATGCCATGCCATGCCGATGCCAATGTAGAAGAAGAAGGAAGTTGACGTGCTTTTACCGAGCTGTCAAAATGAAACTTGTATGGGGATGAATTCAGTGTGTTAAAGTTTGTCCCTCATGTGCTCGACCATTTTATGTTTTTACGCTTCAAGTGTAAAAACATAAAATGGCTGTTTGGGAGGTCGCGCGATACCGGTCGTCGTTTATGTAAACAATGATATATTTTTAATTTTGTATGCCAGCTATATATAAAACTTATACGCATCGATTCGTTATGTATTAGGATATTTAATTCTACTTCATAAATATTAAATTCTATTTTTAAAATATTATCAATCTCATTTAAAAATTGCGTGACGTAATTTTGCCGGTTTCTTGTACATAAAGTAAGGTTTATGAAATTAAGTCATTATATAAAAAGGTATTTGTTTTATTTGCATAACAATACAACATTATATCATAAGAGATTAAAAATCACACCCACTCAATACATTTTTTTCACAAAACAAACTTTCTTTTACGCGGCGAACAATAACAGGTTAAAACAATGGAAAATGCTTGAAAACGTTACATTACGGCCGGCCTTTTCTTGGCATTTTATCTTTGAACAACACAGATTAAAGACAAGGCGTGTTTAATTGCCAAATGTACTGTTCCTGCGGGCGTCATAACACATGAGTTATTTATATACTCATTCATAATGTACACCTAATTTAACTTAAAGCGCCAAACCGATTTAAGTAAGTAAAAGGTTGCGAGTGTAGGTGTGTGCGTGTGTGGGTGCGTGCGTGGGTCACCTGGGCGGCAGGCCGGTGGCGGGCTCCTCGTCGAGGTAGGTGTGCAGGCGCGGGGAGGCGCGCTGGTCGTCGGGCGCCAGGCAGGCGTCGGCCAGGCACTCGTGCACACACCACACCGCTTCCAGCGCCCAGCCCGTCCAGCCGCGGCTGTCTGTACATCGAACGTACCTTCTCACTCACTTCATTTTTTTTTAAATGTGGAAACGTTTTTAAAAAATTGAAGTGAAAGAAATATTTATATGAGATCTACTTTTTTATCTCTCAAAACAAAAAGACAACAACCGGCGAGAATCAACCTAAACGTTTAGCCACTAAGCTACAGAGTTGTCAAACTTTCACATTACTGAACACTCGACTCTGACATGAGGAGTGGGTTTTAATAAGGCAGCACTTAACCTTTATTACAGATGATGTGGAAAGACGCCATCCAAACCCGTTACACACTGAGTTTAAAGACAGACCAAAAATGCTCGAATTGGGAGAACTAATCTTGATGTATACATCGCTACGAGTATAGCTGCGTGTAGAAACACTTACAAGTATCTCAGCGGATGTAGCGTTAAGAGTACTACAGTGCGAGGTCGACTTAATCTTGTTCTATGAAACTCTGCGTATACCGGAGATAGATCATAAAAGTTGATACAGGATAACAAGTGCGAGAAGAACCAGCATGGATCGTGTTTACGATACTGTGGTGCGGTAGAAATATTACGAGATAATTGGAAAGCACGAGGCACGACCAATTTAGATCCGTGTAGTCGATGCAGCATTACGACTACAATATTACCGGATTTTTCCTCTCGTCTGACGTTTGATATAGCACTGCGTGTCTGACAACACGAGAGGCGCTAATCGAGATTGATGCAGCTGATACAGAGCTCGAGGCAAACTGAATTAGTTAAGATCGATGCAGCCAAAGCAGCTCTATAACTATAGCATTGAAGCATCACTCACCTCGTTCGATGCAGCGCTTTGTGTGTGTCAGCACGATGCGGGCTAATCTGTATCGGTGAAGCTGATAAAGCGCTGCAGACTAACCTCGATCGATGCGATTTAGCGCGGTAAGTGCAAGATTGCGTGGTGACTGACCTCGTCCAATGCAGCGCTGCGTGTGCGAGAGCGCGCAGGTGGCGCCGCTGGGCAGGCAGGCGCCGGCGTCCATGTGCGCGCACAGCAGCGACAGCTTGACGCGCTCGCACAGCCCGGCGCACGCCTCGCTGGCGCCGCAGCTGCCGCTCGACGACGACGCTTCGCTCGTCCCCGCGCCCGCGCTCGCGCTCTGCCACCGCTGCTGCGCTACTTCCTGTAAGCGCGAACGTTGGAGACGGACATAGTCAAGTGCATTATAATTTTCTTATATTTATCAAAAGGACCGTGTAGTGACGGTGTAAGAATATCCACTACCCCATATCGTATTGCGGGTGTAGTAAAAAATGACAGAGGATAACTGAAATAGATGGGCAGCAACATCTTACTGATATCTACTGAAATTTATAAAACTGCAGTTACCAACCCGCTTGCCAAACGTGGCAACTATGGTCTAAACCGCCTAAGAGGAAACATTTGGGAGAGGTCTATGTTCAGCAGTGGACTTTTATAGAACGTAATGGAATCAAAAGGAAATAAGATATGCTTATAGACTAAGCCAGTAGGATACTAGAATAAAGGTACATTTGTTTCCAATTGAGTTCTAATCTTACACGAATATCTATGCAAATTGCCCACAGAAAATTCTTTATCTGTCTATATATTTTTAACGGTTTATAACGGCGGCGTGTAATATCGGTATGAATAATAATAGAGGATTATATAGTGAGTGCTGTGAAATGGCGGCATAAGAGAAATCATAACCCTATATTATCATCCTATGGGTGTCGTTAGAAACAGGACTCGGAAACGTTATTAAAAATAACGTTTTTACAAAGATTGGGACGATTTCTTGTATAACATTTTGTTCGAAACAAAAACGAAATGAGAACGTAATGTGAAAACGTAAAAAACGGTTTATTCCGCAGGACGCTTAATGAATGATGCGTGCCACGACAAGTTGAAATGGGAAAAAAACTGTTTAAAATCGTTAAAAACGTTTTATTGAACAAGAACGATTTAAAATTTCGTTCTCTTCATAAACGTTTTTATTGATTCTGTTCGAACATAAACCAAACAAATAAGTTTTTAGGTATTTAAGGCGAAAATGTTTTGAAAAATATACCCTTATCCGAGCCTTGGTTAGAAACACACCTTATATAGCTCAAAGTAATGAAACATTTCGTTTCCAAGACACCAATCAAGTGAGGCTGAAGAACTATGGAAAATATCCCTCATTGAGACTATCTATTATGACTTGATAGGCTGTAGTAAACGAAAAAAATAACTTTGTTAAAAAGTAAAGGCTGTCTTCAAAGAATTAAAGAAAATAAGAGTATTTACATTGTAAAGTTTGTGCTCAGACATTAAAGCCCCGACTTTAGAATGTAATCGAATAACTAATTTTTAAGTCGGCTTTTACTTTTGAATAAAGGCTTTTTTCATCCTTTTGAGTAGACTATGTAATATTACATACTCAATATCGTCTAAATAGTTGTATTAAAAAAACTTCACCCCCTATTTTACCACACTTTTGGGGTCGATGTTTATTTTTTATATGAGATCTCTCTTGAATTATAATCTATTTAATAAAAAATAATCATTGAAATCAGTTTACAATCAACAAAAACAAAATGTAACATACTCGTACATAAAAAAAATATTCAATCGATTTGTCGAGTCTCTTTCATTTTTAAAGTTTGCTAAAAATAATAAAGTTGTTAGTATAATAATAATAGTGTCCTCCAGACCGAATTCCGGTTATGACGGCCTGTCTCACCAAAGGTTTTCCGTACTTTCCGAGGTATTGCTAACTTCTTAACTTCAGTCAGCTATTGAGAATTTCTTCACGGAAAAACTTAATAACTAATTTTTTCCCGACCCGGGATTCGAACGCGGGACCTCATGATCGGCTGTCGTGTTTATAACCACTAGATCAACGAGGCAGTCGGTTGTGAGTGTATGAACTGTAGGTGGCGTGCGCGTTGTGATATCAGTGTAGGCAAGCGTATGTTGTGTTGTGGGAACATGCAGTAGTGGCAGCGGTGGTACCTGTCGGTGGCGCAGGGCGCGCGCGGCGCTGACGGCGAGGCGCAGCGCGGCGGGCGCGCGCCCGTGCGCTCGCAGCGCCTCGATGCGCGCCCCCACCACCGGCAGGTGCTCTGCCACACAACACTCAGTTAACAGCTAATAATCTTCCCTTCACCAGGTGTCGCTAGTTGCGTCCAAGGTGAAGTTTTTTCTCACACAATCTCATATAATTGAAAAGTGGCATTTTAAATCAAAGCATTATATAACATACACAAAACAAGCGTCTGTGATTTGCTTCAGTATTTTTTTACATTTTAACCCTTTTTTTTTTTAATTTTTCTACTTTTAGGAATATCCATAATTTGCTTTATTCATTTCTAATCTAATTAAAATAAAATATAACTAATATTCCTTACATTTACGTAACAAATTAACTTCCCCGCCATGTAATCTGTCAAATATTTCACCTCATTTCTAAGTGACGCCGCCCAGGTGACAAAAAGTCGTGTATGCCCTCATTATAGCCCTCACAATAACAGCGCAAGTCATGTGCGCCAAGTGATAGCATTTGCGCAACCAATACATTGCAGGCGAATTTCATGTGAATATACCACAGGTCAATGGAATATACAATGAATGACGAAGATTAACTAACGGACAAATAATGTAAAAGCAATCTCACCGTACCCACTCCGCGCTCCCTCTTGTATTTCATTAAAAAAAGACCTATATATAGATTATTGCGCATGTGACGGCTGTGCTATCGACTTGTGCCGCTACGTATTGCACTGTGGTTAGTTGTCGTTTATACTATAGTCTGCTCTGTTTAGATAATTATACTACTCTATGTCTAGTATAGTGAAATTTCTATATTCAGTCGCAGATTTAAATAGTGTAGGTGGCCGCATCAAGGCACCAGGCTGCTTCTGGAATTACTTGGTTTGGAATTACTTTCATTTATGATGCGATTGTCCCCATGTCTCTGAAACTGAATGCTACCTTTCCTCAGATACTTTGAATACAAACTATGATCAACTGGGATAATGTAAAGTCAATTGATCCAGGTACAAGTGTATCATAAAAAATCCACTGGCCCCAAACGTGGCCCAAACTGTACACGCATAGTGCATGATTAGCTGTTGACACAGAACATAACTCTTCTCTAAAAGATAACATACACCTCATAAATTCATTCGTAAGCATGTGAAAAATATTTATTTGAAAAACACCATAGCATTAATTTATCAAAATATATTCTACTACTCTAATACATCGTTTCTTATAATATAATTAATACAATCACACTAACCGTGCCACAAAGGTTGTCCTAATTCGTTGAACTTGGGATAAGACTGTAGTGTGTTAGTTCCTGAACTGCCCGCTTTGTCTGGCTTCTCAAAGTCACAATACTCATCACTGCTGAGAATGCTTTTTAAATGTTCGTTTTCCCAAGATATGTCCACTGCATCTAAGGCCCTGGGGAAAAGAATTAATGATTATTGCAAAATATTCTCATAATACTTATTAGCCTACTTCAATGTTTCTCTGAAGCACAACTTAGCTATTGTTTTCTTAATTAACTACAACTTACTTGTGAAATACTGTCCGGGGAGTGGTTTGAGGCGGAGGCCTTTGGTTATGTAGTCGGAGTCTTTTGCTGGCTCTTCTGTATTCTCTTTCATAACTGCAAATATGGAGATCAAAATATCGTTTTTAATGCTTTAATGAACCTGTAAATAATTGGTATCTTGTAGAATCATATTTATTTATTCAAGTACCCTTCGTGCAAAATGAACAAAAACAAAATGGGGAAACGCTTTTAATAACTCTCTTCGTGTACATAAATAGTTCACTGGATGTGGGCGTCTCCTATAGCAGGGAATATTCGCCATAATCGCCACGCTGGTGGGTGGATGGGTGAATGCGGTAAACTAGATCTTAGACACTAATACCAGTTGCAAATTCAAATTCAAATTCTTTATTTGCTAGTAAATAGGTACAAAAATATTTTGTTCTTGGTGTTATAAACAATGTGTTGAGAAAACCTATTTAGCTGTTCTGTTCAACAGCATGCAAATGTCCAAAAGTTTTTATAATATAATTAGTTTCTAAACTTAATCTATAACACATAACTAAAAACATCCTTATACAAATTTTATAAATAAATAAATTAATATAAATAAATTAATTCACGCATTGACAACAGGTACTTAATCATTACAATTTAAAAACTCATTTATTGTGTAAAATATTTTTTCTACCAGCCATCGTCGTAATGAAATTTTAAACTTGTTGTATGGTAATTGCTTAATATGTAAGGGTATTTTGTTATAAATAGTGTTGCACATTGTATAGCTATTTTTTTGAAAGCGCTTACTTTTTGGAAGTGTGGCAAGCATGTGGCATGTACATATCCACAGAAGATAGGTAAACAGAAGAAAACTACTGTTTGGCCGCAGAAATGGCTAACAGGGTGGAACCTACCCAGACGGAATCCTATGCAGAAAGGGAGGCCTACCACCAAGTGTTCTTGTATTTTAGAAAACATTCTAGTAATGCTATTAAACATTACTAATATCCCGTTTAATCACTTCTGGTAAGCTTAAAATGTTTGTGTTAGAAGTGGTTCACGACAGTAGTCGAATGGCGGATTCGAACCCACGACCTTTCAAGTTCGCGGTCCGCGCCCTGCCATTGGCTACTGACTGAAATAGGCTACCAAATTTCTACTACCCATCTGCTTAAATATGTTCAGTTTCCCTTTGTCTCCTCTTACTCTGACACCCTAGGTTAAAGTTATACAACACGAAATTATTGTATTGTTATTGGTTCTAATCCGCAAGTATATAAAATCCCCTACTTTATGAAAGCTACTAGCTGTTCCCGGCGACTTCGCCCGCGTGTAATTCAGAGTTTTAATTTTTTTGCGAGCAACCCTAATTCTTTTTGTACAATAAAAGTTGCCTAATTTACTCCTTATGACATCAGATATCTGCCAGGGAAAGTCCCGTCAAAATCGGTTCAGCCGTTTCGGAGATTAGCCGTAACAAATAAACAGACAAATTTTTTAAATTGTATTTTTGTTTAAGTAGTGTATATATTTTCATATGCATTTAGTAAAAAGCTGTAATTTTGACATCACAAACAGACACTTCAATTTTATTTATTTGTATAGATATATAGATAATAAAAGTATGTTAAAATAATGTTATTTTAAACGTAAATTTATATAAATCCTTACTAAAAAGAGAAAAAATATTATTTCAAATAAATTAACTCACTTGTTTGGTCTAGACTCTTCATCTGAACTCTCAGAATGGGAATGCATTTCTCTCCTTTGTCTTTCTCTATGTCTTTCTCTGAAATAAAAGATAATTACATTATTATAATAATTATACTCCCGTCATCAACATCAGCATCATCATTGTAGCCTATCCAAGTCCAACGCTGAATTAGGCTTAGATTTAAATATTTATAATATTACACTAGCTGGTACCCGGCGCGTTGCTGCCGCAGAAGAAAAATGATTTTGGAAATATCGTTTTAAATTTGGAACAGTTGTATTCTTTAATTAGGAATGATAATTCATTGGAGTTGAATGATATTATATAACTTTCAAATAAATTTGTTTTTTGCGATACGCGCGCCACCTACGGTATGTTAATTGAACTACGCCTACCTTTGCGCAAGTGTAAGCAATAAATTGACAGTGTTACAATCTGATGAACGGTATGGCAGCGCAAAAAATACGAACAAGCAAAAATTAATTTTTATATATTAGATTAATAAACAAATAAGTTACCTGTCCCTCTCCTCCCGTTCACGCAGTCTCTCTCTGTCCCGCTCTTCACGATCGCGATGCCGTTCTCTGTCCCTGTCCCTGTGGTCTCTGTCGCGATCCCTCTCGTTTCTCTCCCTTTCTCTTGCGTACTGGAACAAGAGAAATCAATCGTTAATTTGATCTCCACAAAAATCTTTAGACTTCCTATAAGTGATGGAAATTGCATACTCTTGACCTCCCACCCATCGTAAGTGGCACTACATTTGTTTTTGTAAGTTTATACATTTTATGATTATTATTTGTGTTAAGTTGGTAGCATTTTGAAAACAAATTAAACAAATTTACCCTGTTTTTTGTTTATCTTGTGGTTTTAACGCCCATTTTAAAGATTAGTCTACAATTAGCGTTATTTTGAATCGGTAAATTGGAGGCTTAAAATTATTGCAATTGTTATACTTATCAGTTAAAATTGCTGAAGTCAACTTCTTAAGGTAAATTTTAGTGTGTTGTGCTTAAAAAATGCCTTTGGACGCTGTTGAAGCTACTAGAGCTGTAGCTTTAACTGATGAGGGGTACAGCCAGCGGTGAATTGCACGAACACTTGGTGTACCGCGTACAACGATACGAGACGCCATCTGGCGGTATCGGGAGACTGGTCGTTACACACGGTGACCCGGTCAAGGGCGACATCGATGTACGTCAGCTCGGGACGATCGTTTTATTGTCAGTAATGTGTTACGAGATCTCAGTATAAGTGAAAGAACAGTTAGAAGACGGTTGGCTAAGAGAGATCTGACAGCATTTCGTACAGCCCGCGCTCCAGAACTCCTCAGATCGCACAGAACTGCCAGGTTACGTTTCGCGCGTGATCATGCTAACTGGTCAATGCAGGAATGGAAGAATGTTTTGTTCGCAGATGAAAGGAGAGTTGCTTTAAAAGGTCCTGATGGACGCCAGCGTGTGTTTAGACGCCCAAACGAGAGGTTTGCTCCGTGTGCAATAGTGGAAACGGTGGGATATCAAGGAGGCTTAATTATGGTATGGGGAGGCATCAGTTACGAGGCTCGTACCGACCTCGTTATCTTTGAAAAAGGTGCTGTCAATGCTCACAAGTGTGTCGAAGAGGTTTTACAAGAACCTGTCTTTCCTTTTACTCCTTTAATTGGCCAGAATTTTCTTTTGATGCATGATAATGCTAGTGCATGTTGCCCAGAGTGTTACTGAATACCTGAATGAGGTCGGAATTCAAACATTGTCATGACCCGCACGGAATCCCGACCTCAACCTAATAGAACACATATAAGACAAACTCAAAAGACGCATTAGAGCCAGGATACCAGCACTTGCTACCATACGAGAGTTGAAAGCAGCTGCAGTAGAGGAATGGCACAACATTCCTCAATCTGATATCCAGGATACTATGGATGAGCTACCAAACCGGCTGCAAGAATTCATTAGAGAGAGGGGAGGCAACACCTATTATTAATTGGAAGAATGAAAAATGTTTTCATCAAAAATAGTTCTTTTTTTCAATAGGTTTTTTGTAAAAAACACTTAATTTCAGTTTATTCAATTTTTCATAAAAATTTCTTAACATTTTATCATTTATTGTCTTTTTTTTATGTACCCCTAAAACACAAGAACAAAAATAAAGTTTATTTTCAGCAATTTTTAGAAATAATTAAAAAAATATATGGTGGGCGGTAATTGTGCCTGTGAGTATACTGGAATCCATAAGGTTTTCTTTGACATTTCCTATAGTCGCCTCCTACGAAGCCCACGGGACGAAATAGAGCGATGGAATCTCTTACGTCGCCAGCACATGACATTTTATTTTTTGTTTTACCTAATAACGCTACTCAATTTTAAGATGTCTCAGTCTGTCACAGTCACATTGACTTGAAGTGATAGAGACAGAACAAAACCTTAACGGCGTGCAGCGTTTCGGTATTTGGGCATAACAGTGGTTCTTTCGTAAACTATAAGTACTCACCAAAGGAAAGGAACGGTAATCCGGATCCTCAGTGGGACACACCTCCACTGCGGACCATTTCTCGAGCAGCTGCCTCCATTGCATCCTGTGATGCTTGTTGCTACCTGGGTCTAGCACTATGCTGACCCACAGAGCGCCTAATTGTTCCCAAAGCTGCCTACACTTCTCCGTCATCGGCGTGTTTTGGTTCCTCCAGAGTAAGAGACGTGGGTCGGACAGAAACTGTTCAGTCATGAGCATAAGCATCCTTGGTCCATTGGAGTCTTGTGCTCGCAGCATTTCTCTGACCTGAAAATAATAATACAGCATTATGCAATATTATGCAGTATTACGACATTCTACAATATGGAGCAAGTTCAAAATGTTATTTAAAAGTTATTATGTCAAGGATGTTACGAAACCTTTCAGCCTATTAATATGTTGTATAAGTATAGAATTTTAAAGATATTTCCAACCATGACTAACAAAAGGGTGACTAAGTGCCTACTCCTGAGTAAAGTGGCCGTCAATAAAAGAAACACATCAATATTATTAATATTTAATATAATTATTATGATATATTGAAGTTCTTTTACGTAGGTATATAAATTAGTTCGGCAAACAAACACACCAGCTAGTTGACTATATTCTTACTGTTTTCCATTGACACCTATGCTTAATAAAAATGTAGATGAAGTTGTGACTTGTCTCCAGTTTTCCATTCCTTGCTACACTCTGGGACAAATAGTAGTGCTGTTATTTTAAGATTGTATTCAGTAACATGCAATATATGGTGGACTTACCTTAGAAAACAAGGAGTTGAGTTGTTTATTTGCATTGTAATACGTTCCCTGTAGTAAATACGCTCGTACTTGCTCGCACACCTGAAAAACAATTAATACAGTTAGTAAACAATGGCCACACTACGATCCAGATCGATAATTAGAAAGTGAAAAAGGCACCATATTATAAATATAATTAAAATAGATATTGATAATGTTGATAACATGGCATTGGGAAGTTTTTAATGAATAACAAATATATTCGCTATCATGATAATTTAGGCAGAAATTATAATTATAGGGTCATTGATATTGCTTTGAGAAAGCATACTCCTAGTGTGGATCAATTGAACTTGGAAATACTAAATCGAAAATAAGTTAGATAATAAATAAAATATAAAAGTATGGTCTGCTGATTTTGTAAGACCAAAATTAAGCTTTTTTTTTTTGTTAATTTTAGAACAATTTAAAAAATATTTTTTATTGGATACAAGCTATCTATAACAATGTAAATATCCTTTTTTATTTAAATTTACAATGTACAAGCTGGTTTGAGTTTACTTATGAATTATACGCAGCTTCAATGCATATTGAGAATTAATACAATCATAAATTACAGAGGTAGGTATCTAGAGCCAGCAGTCAAACAACTTCCAGTAAAATGCATCGATTAGATACGGTCATTTGGTTTAATTACATATTTCAAGTAGCATACGTGAGGGTAATATGGTCACTTTCTTATAACTCTACTAAATAACAGCCTTGTTTACAAAGATGACTCTATGATACGATAGCTCTTCATCGGTGAATCAAATAATAAAATTACAAAAAGGCGCTGCTTTATCGACGCCTCCTTGGTCCGAATTCCAACCTAAACCAACTGCAACCGATCTACATCCAATTTTATCACGAAAAGGTTAAATCAGCCCTGTTAGATTAACAAAGTGACGACACAATAATATTTTATGTTCAGATTATAGCTTGTCGCTGTTGTCTATAATGAGCTGGGATTATACCAGTGTAGATTTATAATGCATTTCGAAATATTACATTGTTTTGAAATATGTCATTTATACTTGTGTACAAAATATAATTCACCTGCTGCTCGTCGAGATGCCACGCATGATGTGCGTCAGGCGGTGGTCCAGCGGTAGGGTCAGGGGCGCCGCATATCCTGTTGATCGCGGACCTCGCCTGAAGCACCTCGTCGGCTAGACGCTGCGCTGTAGGCAGCACCTCGGTATGGTGCTCCGCGATTAAGTATTGGACGAATTTCTGCAACTGCTGCCTGTCCATTTGAAGCAGAGTTTCTGAAATGGATTGTTTCATTTATAATTTATCATTTACGTAGGTACATAGGGAATAATATTTAAATTAAACAGAGGACTATGAATGTAAATAATAATAAAAAAAACTACTAATAACATAATTTAGTGACGTTGTGTAATAAATGGTTGAGTAGTAATTTTCAACGTCTGGTGAGTAGGCGAGGCGGCGAAGGTTACCGTGTAATGCAATGTAAGCGAATGCACTACCTCATATCATCTAATCTATCTATCTAAATCTGTCATCTTATGTCGTGACAGGAAAAAGAGGGAAATAAAACAGGAGATTAACAGCAACATTTTCTAAATAACATAACAAAATAATTTTAAAAAATCGAATGCTGAAGAAATTTGCGCCAAACTGTCCTGCGAAAGTAGACTACGTCTTCGGAAGAGAAAATTGGTCATTATTACATCGTCATTATCACCATTACAGTCCATCACAAGGCCAGTGCTGAACATAGAGCTCCTTGAAGGAATGCCACAATGCACGGTTCTGAGCCACTTGCAAGCATCGACTATCTTTTTTTTTATAGGACAGGGTGACAAACGGGCACACAGTCCACCTGATGGTAAGTGGTTGACAGCAACAGGATAAATGTATCCTCGTTTGCGAATCAAAATGCAGATGCGTTGTCACCCGTGAGGACTAAGATGGAATGCCTCTTTTCCAGTAAAAAGAGTCTCCGGTTCTCTACACTCACCATACGAAACACAGCAGTGTTAAGCTGCTATTTTACGCTGGTATTCTGTAAGAGCGTAGTCCTTCCCAGGTCGAGCCGACCCATTCGTGCTACAAATATACTACTAATTAGACGGCTCCGTGGCGCAGTGGCTTAGCAATCAGTTGTTGCGCTGGGGGCCGCGGGTTCGAATCCCGCACGGAACAAGCATTTGTATGGCCTACAAATATTTGTTCCGGGTCTGGATGTTTGTCCTTGTGCAATTTATGTTTGTAAACTGCCTCCACGACACAGGAGAAAATCCTAGTGTGGGGGTAACCTTTTTAGAAAAAAAAAAAAAAATATAGCTGCAGCACGGCTCTACCACGTATAAAAATGCATCTTTTATCTGGTCATCACTCTAGGTCGCTCACCGGTACGAGGCTACGATTCTAGAAACTGTCTTCCACGACGGTTATCGTTATTCGAGCTATCCGGGTTATTAGGTATTTACAGGAATGACAGTTAATTATGTGATTATGTAATTTACTTAAAAATTAAACGTTGATTATTAGTCTACGATTTTCATAAGAAATAATATTTAAGTAAGATAATTTACAACAAATTACAAATTACGATATGAGTAGAATTTTCTCTTTGAAATTTGATTTGAGTGCACTAAATAATACATAAATCTTTATAATATATCCGTTCTACGAGTAATTCTATGCGTAAAAAACAAGTTGCATAATGCGGGTCTAAGCTACAGAACAATAATCTAAGATACTTTGTACTAAAACTAAATTGTTGTAAAGCATAATTTTAGTATTATTATTGTGCAAAAATTTAATGTCCCTCCAAAGAAATCTTAACGCATTTATGTCGCGTTTTGTAATGTATTTTTTTTTTGGAGTTTATGGCCTGGCATCTAGACCTTTAGGCCAAAAATGTAATGTATTTTTGTTGCTTAAATACATGAAATAATAAAGAAAAATGTGAATAGAACAGAATATTTTTTATTCAATATAGATTATGAGAATGCTTATTGAAAGTCATTAATGCTTTTGCCACTGGTTTGGAAAAAATCTCAGCCCTGGGAAAAATCAAGAAGAAACTCAGCGGGGCAGTTTTTTTAAGTATTCATCTATACTCTATATTTATGCAATACAAATTAAAAAAAATAAGGTTATGTTTGTAATGTAAAAATAACAGCTTTTAACTCAATGCATACGCATGTATATACTATACTTATAACAAAAAAACTACTTTTTTTTAATTTTTGTCTGTCTGTCTGTTTCAGCTAAGCTCCGAAATAACTGGACCGATTTTGACGGTACTTTCAAGGGAAGATAGCTGATGTTATAAGGAGTAATTTAGACTACTTTAATTTTAGAAAAACAATTAGGTTCCGCGCAAAAAAATCAAAACCCATGAAACCTAACAGCTAGTTTACAATATAATATGTTGTGCAATTAGAAACAGCATGGTACCGATTACCTCATTCACAGAGGTTAATCTTAATAACAATCATGTACTCTTTAATAGGAGATACAATAACATTTACAATATTTATTGATAACATTTTTTAGACTTTTTGATAGATAGGTCGTGCATATTTACATGGTAAAATTATAAAATACATTGTCCCATGAAGAAATCACTGACTTTTGTGAATCTGGCGGTGTTATGATTTTGTACTTTTACCTTGGTATTACAGAACGTACATCACTATTTATATAATGAAACTATTTTCTTATTGTGTACATAAGGCAATCAATGGGGGGACCTAAGTTCAGCAGCAGACATTTGAGAGGATGTAATGAATGAACCCTTGCTAGGTTAGATATGCATGTGGGAGTGCCACATACATTTCGCGTCAACTGTACCTACTGCAAAAAAAACCAGTGGATTCAACAAGACTCAGCTCCTCCTCATTTATAAACACATTGGTATTTTTGTGTTTAATATTTTGTGTATTAATTTAATAATTTTCGTTTTATTATCGTTCAAAAGCAAATTGTCGACGTCAAACCATTGTACTAATTTTGATATTTAACCGTTCAGGACTGAACATTAGTTATTCCCTACCAGGTAAGGTAATCTATACATATAATAAATCTGTTGAAAAGTCGTGTCTGTAATTCTAATATATTCTTGAAAAAACAAGTCCAGGGGACTAAATAAAGGGTTCTGAAGCCAAATTAGTGGTTTTTAGAATTTTTGTCTGTCTGTCTGTCTGTCTTTCTGTCTGTCTGTCTTTCTGTCTGTCTGTCTGTCTGTCTGTCTGTCTGTGTATTCCGGATTCACGCAAAGACTACTGAACCGATTTACATGAAATTTTGTATGTAGGTAGTCAGTAACCCGGGGCAACTTATAGGTTACTTTTTATCCGATTACGGAACTTCAAAAAAGGAAGGTTAAGTATATTAATTTAATTTAGATGTTAATTTTCTGTTGTATCTTAGTTATTGGCGAAATGACGGGTGTTTTTCAAATAAATACCATATTACCATATTTGTAAATAAAGTTTAAAATATAGTTATAATCTTGGTAAAATAATTTGAAACTACACCGATTTCGTATTCAAAACAGCGCCATCTATCATCAAATGGAAAAAGTTGTATATTTTGCCTTCAGTTACTAATAAATCAAATAATATAAAGAACTTACATTTATATGATTAAATTATTAGATTTTTAAAATTATTAAAAAATTGTAACGTTCAGTTTTTTAGTATTTTTGTTATTTTATTTTAAAAGTGTAATAATTTCAATAGATAATAGTGACGTCTATCAAAAATGTGAAAATTGATAAGGTATTTATTTCAATTACAAATATATATGTAGAATGATAAAAACTGGTCTGTCTGCAATTGTCGCAAAATTTTCATTATCATCATAGTTTTATTAAAGAGATTTTATGTATGTCGTGGCCAGATCGTGGAATTGACCATCTATCATTTCGTGAAAAAACTGAAAAATGACTGAAATGAATGTGTATTTAATGCTATTTGTTGACCATGTCATGTTATAGCTTGACCAAATCAATGAATAGAAATTGTTTGAAGTTATTAGTAACTAAACTAACCAAACAACGTTGCTATTTCATAATATGGTCATATGATCGTCATGAAAAACGATAATGATATCGATCATTATCGTTTTTCACCGCTAGCGTCGCTGATAGCTTATTTTTAACAGAAACAGAACTTTTAAGAGAATTGATATCACTTCATCCCTTATTGATATAATAAATAAATGTTCGTTTCTATTGCTGATATTACTAGATGGTATAGTTTTGGCTTTCATTATTTCATGTAATATTAGCGCCACCTACTTACTTCTAAATAAATTAAAATGGCAAGACATTGATAAAATGAAATAATACAATGCTACTGAATATAGGATATAAATAATTGAATCATTTACATTACGTTCATCCCGCGTTGGAATCAGTGCAGCAAACTCTTTTTTGGCCAAAAACTCTACACCCTGTGCCCAGTAGTAGCATGTATGTAAGCTGCTTTTTTACTTTTCATGGGGCAATATATGCAGTTTTTATTACATTCGTGTTTTCGGGTATGTTGCTTTTTGTTTTCACTCTACCGTAAATATTAAGGCTTGCAAAGATGAGTAGAACTCATTGTTGTCAGCCTATCAAAAGTTCACTGAAATGAACATAGGCCTCCCCCATAAATTGTCAACTAGCTGGATATTTGCTATAGTGGCGGGTTGGCAACCGCAGCTATTATTATTTTGATCTGTTGTCAGGAAGATGATGCAGATCATCCCATCTACTATTTTTTTCCTATGTCGCCTCTTACAACGGGACGATATGATGTGTTGGATTTTCATTCACCGCCATAACAGTGCGAACATTTTTCTATTCCCGTTCATGAGTGTAGTGTTCCTCACGTTCAGTGTATAAAATTTATAAGGAATAAAAGTAATTTTAAGGATTTTATCGCGTTTAATTTTAATTTTTTAAATTCCCGATGGTTTGGGCAATTTACAGCACCCATGGTCACGGGAGGGGTGGGAGAACTGAGGTGTTTGACGACCTGATGTCATAGTTAAAATAGAATAGTTAAAATGCAGTAGTAGTTTGAATTTAATTTTATTAATCATGGAGTCCTTAGCAGATAGTAGCACTCAGCCGTCTTCCCTGTTAAAATTAGGATATTTTTAATTTCAATAGCCTCGCGAATCATCATTGGTAGGATTCGGTGTTCTATTGCAAGGATTTGTTGCATATAATGGTTGGGACGATACTAAACATGTTTACATACTTTAGACTTCCCGGAGCTTCGGTGCTTTCATTCGGTGAGGAGTCAAGATGCGTAAAAAACCCGTAACATTAGTTTTAATCCATGTGTGGTATTCATTATTATAGAACTGTATTTATGAAATTTTCAAGTCTACTTGAAGTAAATAAAAATATCTATATCTTTTTATGGTGCCAGTCAATATTAAATAGGACCAATGATATGAATAAAATGTCTCAAATAAACATTATATTACTTTGTTAAAACTAAATTTACTTTAACTATGAATATATATATATGTAAAGAGTAAAATGTAAATAATAATAATACATTTTGATTTCAAGACTATTTACCTTTCTTATGGATACATCGGAATCGGAAGACGTGCCATATATAAAAATAGTAGGAGTTTCTAGACATATTATAAGTATATTCACGTGTTTCTGTAGCATGTTACCAATCATCTACGTCTAATAGTATTTTAGAATGAAAAAAAATCTCTGACAGACATAGAGACATAGACCTTCACCTTGGTGACTCTAAAAGTGATCGAATATTTCTAAATTTGACACGGAACAGCATTTAATGATGTCCCTAAATTCAAGCGCACGCGAGCGAAGCCGCGGGTAAAAAGCTAGGTCATTAATATAAACTAAGAACAAAAAGGAGTCAAGAGTTGAACCTTGAGGAACACCCATAGATACTACCAACCTGGAAGGGCTACTCCAGGCTACTCGATTTGCAACACTGCGTTCTATTAATTTTTAAAAGGAGACTATAAATTTAAGCGCTATGTTCTTTACACCATAATGCTGTGGCTTCAAGATTAATGTATCAAAGTGAACATAGTCGAAAGCCTTGGGGAGGTCACAAAATATTCCTAAATCATTTTCTGAGTCATCCTGTAGATAAGGCTGACCAGAGTTTATGATACCATGTTTCTGGAAACAGAAAAGCCTTTGTTCATTTTCTCGTGATAAATGCGTCCAATATCTAATACAGGCTATTATAGGTTATAAGTTTGCTCAATTTTAAGCAAATACTTTTAAGAAAATTTTGCTTAGAATTAGGCGTACAATTTTTGTAAGAAAATCAAATTTCGTTATCAAATAATGTTATTTTCTTTCAAATATACGACTGTTTTGAATTGAAGTTCTTCAGACAGTCTGTGTATTATTGAATATCAAGCTTTCAAAACGTCTTCACAAATATCCCCACATAAACGAATATATTAGTACAGATCAGTGTGGTGGAAGAAACGAGCATGCAGACTCTTGTAGTGAACTCGAAATAAAAAGGTTACAGGTTTTGACCCTTGAACACTAAATTCGAATTTGTTCCTTAATACTGATTCTTTTCTTAGGAATCGGTGGTGCACGACAAGGGGTGTCAAACGAAATATCTCACGGGAATAATTGCTAGGCAAGGGAAATTCACCAGTATTTTGATTATGACCTGAATTGAATCAATAATACGGTTTCCTTTGGTTTAAGAAATCACTCCTTTATCGTATAGATGACGAAATTACCTACATAAAAATTGCAAGCCTCAAAATATGTGCTCTAGTGACAGAAAGCACTGACTAAATGGTAATAATATGATCACCAATCTGTTTCTGCTCTTTCAATATACCGTAAAGGTCTACTGTTCACCCATTGTAGGGATGATGGCCACGCTTGTCAAGTGAATCGACGTTTTCTGTACCAAAAGTCTCGTTACTTTGGCATGAGTCTACCGATCACCTCAAGGGAATGGGATCCCACGTGGAGCGGCTTTCGGAGTCACCTCCCTCCAGCTACCACCCGCATAAATTCGACACATATGCTCCACCAACCAATACAACGGCAGATATACTCAAAAGACAGTTATAAGATAATAATAATAATTCGCCATCAGAAAGGGTTTGTGTAACTAACGTTGAGTCTGCCGCCGTCGTCCCAATTGATATTGTACGACGTACGCCGTCGGTATTGGAAGCCATAAGATATTTCTGGTATTGCGCACAGTCGCTTTTTACGATACCCTCGTGATGAAATTGAGTGATGGATTTTCTTTACGTCACCACTACACGGCAAATGATAATAACGTTATAAAAATAAGTAGATGATGCTTGGCAGTTACCTGATATAGGCACACGTAGACGGACTGAATCGGCGTTCCTGATGCGGTACAGTGCCAGCGCCACCACGTGCTGGCACCAGAAGATGTCGCGCGCCTCGCAGCTGCATGTCACGCCCGTTATCTTGCATCTAGTAACACCAAAGTTTTCGTTACGTTTATTTTTCATATAATTAATTAACAAACAAGCACAGAGTGCGCCTTATGGTAAGTGGATGCTGTGGCCCATAGACACCTATCCCACCACATTATAAGCTATGGTTTTGCTACGAAGATGGTGAATCGTCTTAGCGCAGCAAAGTCATTTTTCACTTTTACTTTTGCTCGAGAGAAACATTGAAATTGGATAGGAAGACACGACAAAACAACACGAAAAAAATATCAACAGCAAACATAAAAATAGGAGGACAATACAAACAAAAGCTACTTTTTAGGGTTCCGTACCCAAAGGGTCACCAACGGAACCTTATTACTTAGCCTCCGCTGTCCGTCCGTCCGTCTGTCAGCGGGCTGTATCTCATGATCCGTAATAGGTAGACAGTTGAAATTTTCAAAAAAATAGAAATAAATTAAAGTTTGCTTCCCTACTAGAAACGTGTTATACAACGGTACTAAACCCTCCATGCGCGAGTCCGACTGCGCTAGCGTAACAACCCCATATCATCCCGTGGGCGTCGTAAGATGCGACAGAGGGAAACAAATTAGGAGATGGGCTCAGCGTCTTCCTAATAGACTAAAAATAAAAACTGCGGTAGCCACAACTATGGCAAATATCCCGCCTATGAGGCAATCACTGGCGGAGGCCTATGTACAGCAGTGGACTTTTATAGGCTGTAAAGGTAGCGGTAGAGTAACAAAAGGGTAGCATAAAGGGTGATGACGCGCCTCAATGTTATTGTAGACGGCTCCGTAGTGTAGTGGCTTAGCAATGAGTTGTTGCGCTGGGTGCCGCGGGTTCGAATCCCGCACAGAACAAGTATTTGTATGGCCTACAAATAATTGTTCCGGGTCTGGATGTTTGTCCTCGTGCAATTTATGTTTGTAAACTGCCTCCACGACACAGGAGAAAATCCTAGTGTGGAGGTAACGTTTTTTTTTAATGAAAAAAAAATTGTACGTGAGCTCTGGATTGTTATTCGCAATTTTAAGCAATGAAAGAATGTCAGAATATCTATGTTGGAGAAATTAAAAAAGAAAATAAGAACGTATAACAAACCAACCTACTAACTCCGGAAATTACGGTAGGCCTGCGTTCAGCAGGTCATTTTAAGGAGCTGTTGCTTTGAGTTCAGATAAAGACATAAATATATTTCGCTCTCTACTGCAAAATATAATATTCGCTACTGCAAAAAATATGTCGCTCTACACATTAGAACCTATATATTTATAAGCATACATACATAAACACTCACGCCTGTCACCCAAAGGGGTAGGCAGAGACTATGGACTTCCATTTGGCACGATCCTGACACACCTCTCCCGCTTCCTCCACATCCATATACCTACACATACACGCTCGTCGGTTAAAGGTACTCTTGATTTGGCCCATTTTCAAGATATCGCCAATTTGGTCGATAAACTTTCGCCTAGGCCGACCCTTTCCGACTCTGCCGTTCACCTCTGCAACATAAATTTGCTTTATCAACTCTTTCCTCATTCATTCTTTCTACATGACCAAAGCATTCCTTTCTTAATCCTGGTCACAACATCATCTTGCAAACCACGCTCTTCTCTTATCAAACAATTTCTCACTCTGTCATTCAGATTCATCCATTTATAAGCATGATCATTCATTTATAAGCATTGGAAAAATAATATAAGTTTTAAACATTTTCATTCGGTTACTGCGGCTTTATACTTGGCAACACAATCGCGTGTAATGTTACAAAAAACTGGCGAAGTGTGAACGCACAACAAAAGCCATTATGCTGGTGCACAGTCCTTCACCGTAATAAAAGATTCTTTTTACAGCATTGGCCTGTTCTAACAATGGTCTTGGACCACTTGCCTGTCTCTTTGAAAACGTTTGTCTTGTGTTTGGTGAAAATAATTTGTCGCAACGGCGTATTATTATTCGGTAAGTAAAGGATGAAAGCAGCGTGGCTTCAATTTAAAAATAATTTCGATTAAAACAGTTACCGATGAGTTTGAAATTGTTTAATACACAGAAAAATACTCTAGGCGGAGAAAGAACGAGGCGTTGCGGAGCCGCGGGTTTCAATCCCGCACGGAACAAGTGTTTTATTTTTATTTTTAAAGTTAAAATTTAAAACATTTGTCTTTTAATATAAGGAAGTTATTTTTTTACTATTATAGGCGATTGTTTGACTTATTCCACCCGATGGTAAGTGGTGATGCAGCCAAACACGATAAATATATTTCGAGGGCATGATGTGAAGTCCCTTTAACACGCAAAAGAGCTGTGCAGGGAACTAACATTCCCACTCAGGTATGAGAGAAAGCCTGTGCCCAGTAGTGGGACGTATATAAGCTGCTGTGCTGTAAGCGTTAACTTACTAAAAATGGAGTATAAGCAATTACCTGTCAAAAGAAACTGTAACCCGAAAGAGTCTTTCAGGCTCCGAGCAGGGCGGCACCGCGGCGGGGGCGCGCACAACTCCGCTCAAGTGAAAACCTGTAAGGAAAAAGCAAACTAATTAAATACAACAGAGGATGACACGACTAAAGGATTTTTTTTTTGGTATTGATAATAACTGACTGAGAGCGAAATCGATTTAATTTTGTCATATCTTTGTGATGTTTTCCTTCACCACCTATCAATTACTTTTTATAAAGCAGTTAGTAAGTTTTTTTAAATTAACAACAAGTTAACTACTGCTTTTGCTGTACGCCGTGTATTGTATTTATTAATTTAAAAAAATTAAAAGTATTTTTTTTTTTATTATAACAACCGTATATATTTTCATATGCATTTTATAAAAAACTGTAAATTTCACATTACAAACATTATTCAATAGAATATTGCATTTGCAATGGCATTAGCTTAGTAAAATTAAATACTACATTCCATGTTAAGAACTTCATTAATTTTGTGAAGTTACTTGAGAAACCCATTCACCAAGTTCAAACTTTCAACAAATTTTAGCCCTACGACCAACATAACACGGTTCATATTTACTCAACACAGCACTCTGGTTATGGTGTAATTCAAATTGTTCAATAGAGCGTTGCAGCATTTCAGGGTTATATCGGCGGTTTGCGAAATGCAATGAATCGATTTGTTTCGTGTTTTTTTTTTCTAATTTTAGCCTCTCTTGAAGCCAAATTCGGAAATTTCAATAGTAAGCACCTAGTAACTCTTTCCACTGGACAGATAAGTTGGTGGTACTGTACAGGTATTAAAACATAAGCGAAAGTAAAAAAAAAAGACAATGACACTGATACTTAGATTTATATTAGTCTGTTTCATTAAAATAGTTTAAACTAGAGTCTGGTTCATTCAATAAAGAAGTGCCGCGGAAAATATGTGAACCACAAAACACTATTACTCCCATGGGACCAAAAATTTTGAAGTATAGAATTTGACATCAAATGACAAATTTCGCGATAAGTGTGGAAACCTTAGTTTAGTTATATGTGGTAGAGCCATGTTGCAGCTATATTAGTAGTTGTAGCACGAATGGGTTAGCTCGACCGGGGAAGGACCACGCTCTCACAGAATAACAACGTAAAATAGCAGCTTTACACTGTTGTGTTTCGTATGGTGAGTGTAGAGAACCGGAGACCCTTTTTACTGGAAACGAGGCATTCCGTCTTAGTCCTCAGTGGTGATAACGTATCTGCATTTTGATTCTTAATCGAGGATAAATGTAAATGTCTATGAGCCACAGCATCCACTTACCATCAGGTGAACTATGTGCTCGTTTGTTACTTACATAATATGAAAAAAAGAAGTCGCGGATAAAGTTTCTTCTTTCGTCAAAAACACTCTTCTTAGACCACACTCTTCTTTTTATACGTGGTAGAGTCATGCTGCAGCTATATTAATAGTATAGTTGTAGCACGAATGGGTCGGCTCGACCGGGGAAGGACCACGCTCTCACAGAATACCAGCGTAAAATAGCAGCATAACACTGCTGTATTTCGTATGGTGAGTATAGAATACCGGAGACCCATTTTACTGGAAAAGAGGCATTCCATCTTAGTCCTCACGGGTGACAACGCGTCTGCATTTTGATTCACAAACGAGGATAAATGTAGATGTCTATGGGTCACAGCAACCACTTACCATCAGGTAGACTATGTGCTCGTTTGTCACTTACATAATATGAAAAAAAAAAAGAAGTTGCAGATAAAGCTTCTTCTTTCGTCAAAAACACTCTTCTTAGACCATAGTTTAAGCCCGACATTATGAGTAAATAACTATGTTTGTAATAAGACGGTGTACGTTGTGAAACAGAATTTATACAGATTATTCTAAATTATGAACAAACTTCAAATTTATTTTATTGTAGTTTTACAAAAAAGATACGTAGTCTTTGCATAATCTACGAGTATCTACCGCCAACGCAACGTAATCGTAGGCGCAGCTTATATACATAATGAAAATTGCTTCTTTATGCATTTCAAACGTATAAAATACCCATAAATCTATTTCCCTTTCTAAACACCATTCAGGCAATATTTTGTAAACCACCGTTAGAAATAGTGTGTGTTTACTAAATATTTTACAACAGTTAATATTTAACGAGGTGCGACTTTAACCTTACGACATTTTAGATGACTTAATGATCCAGTAAAATTCGTGATAAATTCAGATCCATTAATGACACGACGACAATTATGAAACAATTACTTGTCTGATTATTTTACTTCATTATTATAATTAAATAAGTCAGGTCGTTGTTTAAAAAGTATAATATTTGAAAAATGAAAATTAATTTAGATGCACTAACATTAATTGATGTTCATTTTTCGCTTGCAGTGGCGGTAAAATTCTTATGAAAGCCTTGATGCGCTACGAGACTGTCAATAGCCGAACCCTGCCTGTCCGAACTCATAGCTGATACAACTGACATTTAAAACCATTACTGCCGAACATTAGAACCGTGGGCGCAAGTGTTCCTTTTCGATTGATTCGATGATTGAGATCGAGATTATACCACTTCCGCCTGTCGAAAGAAATATAATACGAAATATAAATTTATAACGGACTATGCCTATATCGTAGGAAGATTATACGTTAATAAATTGGATAAGTTCGCTGCCCGGCCAGTTCAAAATATATATTTTTAATTGATATCTAATATTTTAAACAAAATCTACAGTTTTTGTTTCATTTACCAAAAATGCAATTCTGTAGAATTTTATTGAATTTACTTTTTCTATCGACTTCAAAAAGGAGCCGGTACTCAATTCGACTGTATGTTTTTTTTATGTGTGTTACCTCATAAGTTTTTACTGGGTGAACCGATTTCGATGATTCTTAATTTTATTTGAAAGCTGGTGCTTCACATGTGGTCCCATATAAATTTGATCAAGGTTTGACCAATGGTTTTTGAGTTATTCTTAATAATTTATGTTGAAGTCGGTTGTACAAAATATTTATTTTAAATTATATAACTACATATTTTATTTATTTGAAGCTATGGTTATTAAAAACTTGATATAATATTCATAGATTATTTACGTGGTAGAGCCATACTGCAGCTATATTAATAGTATAGTTGTAGCAAGAATGGGTCGGCTCAACCGGGGAAGGACCACGCTCTCACAGAATACCAGCGTAAAATGGCAGCTTGTCACTGCTGTCTTTCATATGGTGAGTGTAGAGAACCGGAGACCCCCCATTTTACTGGAAAAGAGGCATTCCATCTTAGTCCTCACGGGTGCCGACGCATCTGAACTTTGATTCTTAATTGAGGATAAATGTGGATGCCTATGGGTCACAGCAACCACTTACCATCAGGTGGACTGTGTGCTCGTTTGTCATCCGCATTTAGGATTTTTTTTTAGTATGTAATGTAAGTAGCCGTGTAGTGGCAGTGTAAGTACATCCACTACCGTCACGTGCCGTGGGTGTCGTAAGAGGCGACGGAGGGACTAAACTCAAGATGAGCAGCAGCGTCTTCCTGATAATAATTCCAAATAATAATAACTGCAGTTGCCAATCCATCTGGCGAGCGTGGCAACTATCAAGAATCCTCCTTATGAGCCAATCGTTGTGCAGGTTGTTCAGCTGTGGATTTTAATAGAATGTAACGGTAACGATATACATAGAACTATTAGAATATAAAACGGGAAAAAATACAATTAAAATTTCTTAACACAAAATAAAGGGACTTTTGAAGTACCGAACTGATGTAATTGGAATCGACAAAATGAGAAAAGTAAGTTCAGCTATTGTTCAGCACAAAAATGGACCGATTTGTAAAATAATTTGTGCAATACTACTCAACGAAATGCGATCAAAATCCCATTCAATTCCATCGCAATTAGGGCAATCACAACGGAGTTGCTCAAAATAATTTATCTGTGGTATATTAAAAAGCAACGGTTTCGCGGTTTTTTCTTTTTGTATACAACACTTTTTTATATATTTTCTTAATATTTAACATTTTTAATTTTTAATAAAATAACATCGTGCGAAAACAAAACTGTGCTTGCTATTTTTAACAGCCCTATCCACCACAAAAAATATTTATTCGAAGTAATTCAATAATAAATATTAAAGTATGAAGTAGGCTTCAATGAAAAGTAAAAAAATATTAAACATTCATTAAATAATTACAGTCTATCAAATGTCCACATGGACCTCCTAATAGAATGATTCAGCCATAGTTGCCACGCTTGGCAGGTGTTTTTTTTTTTGTTGATATCAGGAAAAAGCTGCTTTTTACGACGCTCACGGGGCGATATGGGGTACTCGATTTTTTTTTATAGGATAGGGTGACAAACGAGCACACAGTCCACCTGATGGTAAGTGGTTGCTTGGATTTTTTTATAGGATAGGGTGACAAACGAGCACACAGTCCACCTGATGGTAAGTGGTTGCTGTGACCCATAGACATCTACATCTATCCTCAATAAAGAATCAAGATGCAGATGCGTTGTCACCCGTGAGGACTAAGATGGAATGCTTCGTTTCCAGTAAAAAGGGTCTCCGGTTCTCTACACTCACCATACGGAACACAGCAGCGTTCAGCTGCTATTTTACGCTGGTTTTCTGTGAGAGCGTGGTCCTACCCCGGTCGAGCCGACCCATTCGTACTACAACTATACTACTAATATAGCTGCAGCATGGCTCTACCACGTAAAAATATTATTTGCGTGTAGGATATTCTCACGTCGCCACTATACCTACAAAACGCGTAAAAATATGATCACAAATTGAATATTATACCTTGTAATTCGCGTTCACCTTTAAGTTTGAGCATGTAGGCGGAAACTGCAAAAAGAAGCCGTGTGTAGTGAAATGAAAAAACAAAGACGGCGGTGTTGGCACAGCTGCGTTTTTCGACTGGGGCTGTTTAATCATTTCCTTTTTATTAGGTTTCCTTGCAATACGCCAATAAACTCTTTTTGATTCACACGGTTTTGGTTTTTAACCGACTTCAAAAAAGAGGAGGTACTCAATTCGACTGTATGTTTTTTAATGTGTGTTACCTCGATAAC